TAATAGTCCTAGTGTTTTTGTCAATAATTTAATTATGCCAACAGTGCAATAATTCTGCCTGGTCTTAAATATATACGCACATTTTTTAAAAATATCAAAGAGAAAGGGCCAACACCAAAAAATCACTCTCAACAGCACTTTTTGGCACCACAATGCCTACATTTTTGGTACTTTCCAAATAGAATGCCCAAACAGGCTTGGAAAGAGTTAGGTTTCTCCAAAGAGAAATCCAGAGCATGACCCCACACACCTTATTCTTTGCTTGGTGGCTAGGACACTCCTGGGAAACAGAAAATGTGGTTTTGAATCCCCTCAGGCTGGGGGTGGCTAGAACCCAGACCTTTCACTTCCTAGCCAAGTGCTCTAACCACTAGGACTATTATATAAAAGATGAGTCCCAAAGGCTGCAATCTCAAATTCAAGTGGCCATAAATTTGCTCTGTGGATACCTAATGGATCAAGTTTTAGATGGATTTTAGGTGACTTCCAGCTCTGACCTCAACTGCAATGGGCATTAGGGTGGAACTAAGTGCCTCACTGTTGGAGCTGAACATGCTTAGAAGCCTAGATACAGATGCCCAAGGCATCTTTTCATGCTAAAATGGAGGCACCCTAATGATTATGTGCCTAAGGTGTTTTGCAGCCACTAGAGTAAAAATAATCTGGACTGCTTTTTATGACTTCAGTGCCTATATTTCACTCTAGTTCTGCCTAGGCACCTACTACAATGATTTAGACCCAGCCCTTTGCATTTATACACCAGGAGTAGTCTTGTTAGCTTCTATCACAGCATGCACAAAAGGAGCATATGCCTAACCCAGGATTAACTAAATAATTGCTTCTGCCATGACAAGACCAGGAACTTCCTACACCACAACATATGCAGGATAAAATTTTAAAGCTTTCCATCATTTTTCATTTATTAGGAGGCTTCACATACACACATTCCTTACTAGAGCCCACAAAACAGCAAGGCAATGGAAGTCACAAAGAAAAGTCTAAGTATTAGCAAGCAAATTGCATAATACGTGTTCTATTTTGTTGCCAAAGTGTGAATGTTTAAAAGTGCTCACTTTTAAAGCTGCACAGAGTTTAAAGGTTCTTCTCAAGAACAAGGGAAAGCACATCCACAGTCTTTCAGAATTAATCTTTTAAAAAAATATCAAGTGCCAAAATATCAAAGGGTCACAAGTTCTTAAACCATATTATGCAACATTACTAAATACACTTTAATGATTACAAATTACTTTACCACCCCTGAAGCTGCTTACCTTCTAGTACCCAAGCTTTCTGAACTTTGTAACTGGAAGATATTTCATTTTAAGCTCCAAGTCAGAAATTTCTCTCATCAGTATTTAATATCTAACCATATGTTTTTGTCCAGCTGTCACCAACATACTGAGTACCCACTGTCTATATAACACCAGCTCACAGTACCTATTTGTTGAATTAGTAAAAAGTATCACACTGCACTTCATTATTTTTTTTTGTACTGTGTATTACACCCTTTTTTGTATCATCTGCCTCATTTGTTTAGACAGTTAACTCTTTGGGGCAGTTAACTCTTTTTTTCTATATCTGATGGAAACGATATGCTTTTGGAAGACTACTTAGCACTAAGGTTTTATTTTCCTTTATCAAACATAATAATGTCATTATTAATGCCCCACTGGCCATATTCCACAAAAAAGAGACCCCCCCCCCCCATCAAAACACAAAAAAGCCCCCCCCCCCCCAGTTAAATTCCACAGAGGGACAATCCATAAAGGTACCTACAATGGGACTTTGGTGGCTACGTTTAGCCTAGAGTGATCCAGAAACACAGTACAGCAGCCAACCCTGCCCCCCCAAAAACAAAACCCCCCAACAACCCCTTCCCCCCAAACCTCCCCCCCACCTAGTGGGTGTCTACACATGCAATTAATGTGGCTGAATAAACTCTGGTGCAGTTTGTGCCACAGTTTATTGCTCCCAGGCACTGCATTTGCACATGCGTCTGGGCCTGCAGCACACTGAGCCAGGTCGGAACAGTCCCTGCTGGCAGGGGATCCTGGGGGATCAGTCTGACAGTCTGGGGCTGCTCTGACCCAGATCAACATGCTGTGGAGGAGCTGGCTTGTGGCACAAAGGTGTTTTAGGGTGGGGCTAGCTGGCAGGCACAATGAAGCACCGTCATGCCCCAGCCAGCCCCATCAGCATCTATACATGCGTTGCAGCAGAGTAAGTAACTCTGCTGTAGGACTACTTGTGTCTGGCAATACTGTCTTACAGTGGAGTTAATTAGTTTACTCTGTTTTAATAGCAGTACATTTGTAGATGGTAACATTTTACTGCAGAGCTAATTAGTCAGCTTCAAAGTAAATGTCTCATGTAGATGTGACCAGTGCAGTCCAAATGCAGAAACAAAGTTCCTTTAGGTGCTTAAATGTTAGCTCCTGTGCATACACATAAGGGCTCTAAACTTGGCAGCCTGATCTCTGCCTAGTTCCTGACTATTCTCCATCTCAATCCAGATGCAAAGTCGAGCAGTATCTAAACTCTGCCTAACTAACTACAGGGGAACTGGTGGTATGGTCAGAGCAGGCTTAAGTGTGTTAATAGAACTGCATTCAGTACAAAGCACAGCAATGAAGGGCACTTTTATGAAACATCATGAGAGGGAGATGAAAGAGACGATGCCCACCTTTTAAATAACAGACCAGTGGCAACAAACACCGGATCAAGAAGTGCAAGACCAAGGCAAGACCAAGGCTCTAAGCCAGGCACGGGCAGTTATTTTGGGCGGAGGACCACTTACTAAATTTTGGCAAGCCTTCAAGTGCTGCATGACAGGCAGCCAGGGGCACATAAATATTAATTTTCTAAATGTTTTAGGGGCCCTGCAGGTTGGAGAGAATGTCTCGGCAGACTGCTTCTGGCCCACAGGTCACATTTTGCCCACCCCTGCTCTAAGCCCTCAGCCAGAAGAGATTCAACTTGCATCTCCACCATCCTACAGAATGCCCTAACCAGTGACTGAGGCAGAGCTGAACGGTGGTTTCCAAGTTTCTGCTCTAAGGAGTATTTCTATTTTATATCCAACAATTGTTAAATGTTTTTCTTAATGCATTTTACAATTCTAGGAGCAGGAACCAGAACCCATAGACGGAGGGAGAAAATATTGGGGGGGAGAGGGGGGGGCACGCAGAGGTAGGTCTGTGGAGGGGAAGGAGCAGAGGGAGAAGGAAGGGGTGGGGGGGCAGATTGAGGCCCCCATAGTGAGGAAGGGAGAAGCAGAGGCAGGGCAGGGGTAGATGGGCCCTGGGGCCGGGGCAAGTCTTGGGATGATCGAAGCCCTGGGAGGTTTGTACAGGGGCGTTGAGGTGCTCCCGCCACTGTGTACATCCCAGGAGAGGTACAGGGGTGGACATGCCCCCCTAAGATGCGTGTGCGAGATGCAGGCAGGCTGCCACTGCACATTGGACTCTGCGCCCCGCTGCCACGAGAGCTGTGCAATGCCATGTTCCTGCTGTCCCTGGGCCGTGCCGCATCCCCTGCCTGCCCGATGGTGGCAGGCACATGGTGTTGTGCAGCTCCCGCAGCAGCAGCAAAGGCAGTGGGGTGCAGAGCCCCAGTCTGCAGTGGAAGCCTGACTCCACCCTCCCCACAAATCGGGGTGGCATGTGCCCTCTCATGCCTCCTCCAGGTTGCATGCAGCAGCAGGTACCCCCCACAGTGGATGAGACATTCCAATAGGAGGCTCCAATAGTCCCACAACCTGCCTCGGAGCCCCGTTCACCACAGCCCCTCCCTCACTCTGGGGGCCATGATCTACTCCCCACCACTTTCACAGGCTGAGACTTGCCTGACATGCTGGGCAGTAACACTGGGCTGCGAGTGTCCGAGTTTCTGCTCCTCCCCGCTCCCGCAGTCACCCAGAGCCTGCACTCAGGCTTCCCTGCAGCCCTACCTCCTGCCCCATGTTTGCACGGGCTAAGCTCCATTAGCCCCATCCTCCCACCACCTATGCCTTTGCCCCCAAAGGTGATTGCACTAACCACATTGCTAGAATGCTGGGAACCTCTTACTTGCTTTCCTGCTGGCTCTATGATTCCTGCATGCCTTTGTGCACAACAGCCCAGTTTCAACAGGAAGGGGATTATGTGCCTCAGACCAAACCACTCAATAGCCCAGAGGTTAGAGAAGCCCACACTGAGCTGAGGAGGACCTAGAATTCTTGATCTCCCACTTCCTGGTAAAGTTCTTTAACCACTAAGCTATTAAACATAAGATGAGCACTGGCAATTGCCACTTCCCCCAGCATCTTAAAAAACAGTGAGCCCTTGTCACCTGGAGGCTTACCCACAGAAGAGAGTCCTGGCTCTGGATCCTGAGTGGGCAGAGATGCCTAACTGTGCAGCCCTCAGTCAGGTGCCTAAGGTCCAGAGAGTAGAACTGAGAGACATCTCCATGCTCACCATTTCCTATTGGCTCTCGAGGCAGCCCCCTGCTCAGCATTAGAGTTTTTGCTCATTCCCTTTTCTGTGGGGTCTTACTCTTTACTCAGCGATTACTTTTTGGAAGCACATACATTTTCCCAACTTGTCAGGGAGCCTAGACACTCTGGATCCTTGAATCATTCTAGTGGTGGCAGAAGCCCAATTTTTTGCCACTGCAATGCTTAAGTTGAATATACCTCAGTGCCTCTCTGAATTCCCAACTCCCAAATGCAATTACATATTGTTGCTGTTCTCCCAGAATTCTTAAAACACTGAGTGTCTGTGGCCTTTACTTGATCAACTTCAGAAAACTTGAACCTTTTAGAATATCATTTACCCAGAACCCCCCCCAAGAAACTCTAGTCTGAACCTGAAAAAGTGATTGAACAGAAAACAAAGTAAACAGTCCCAAACAAGTAGTTCTCAAGGTAGAGAGGAAGCAGGTTTGACAGTTTACTTGCTTTCCTGGTTTCAAAAAGACATGTTACAGACCAAGGCGTAACTCTTAAATGACCACTGGAATGCACTACAATATTCTTTTATTTAGTTTACAGAAGAATCTATCAGTACAGGTTGCAGAAAGAAAATGTTTAGTGCTATTTACAATTTGTTTTAAAACTCTGCTCTATACAAATTTAATTCTGATCAGTATGAACAGTATTTTGTAGACCTACTGCATATAAAGCATTTTGTCAAAGCGATAACAATGGATAAAATAACCTGATTACATTTGAATGATGTTGATCATTCGAAAAAACAATTACACAGAACATCCGTAAGGGCTGTGGACACTTATTAAGTACAGAACACAATGTCAACCTGTGACTCATTTTTTGAAGGCTAAAGCTATTTATATGGAATATTGTTCTATTATACTACACGCCAATCTATATTTAAGTCCTATAGTTATGTATTTTTTAAAGATTTTTATTAAATATATTCTACACATATTTGTAATTTCAGCCAGGAAGTTTTTAATTCCTCCCTAGTGAAAAAATATAAAATCTTTTATTTTTTTTGGTTTTTTTATTTTATTTTTTTTACAGGTTTAGATGAAACTAGCTCATGCTTTAGTGCTGTGCAAATTTCTTTAGCATATCAACCTTTAAATTATTGATATGAAATAAAAGAATGGCATCCTTTTTAATTATGTATGCCTTTAAAAATCAGCTTCTGATTTTAATACAACTGCAAGCACTAATACCAAATGCAGATTACATAAAGAAACAAAACTAGTACTATGGCAGAGGTTTCTTCTTTTTTTTTTTGTTTTTTAAATTTGAATAATTCGTTTGAAGTCTCTACTGAGTAAGCATGACACTGAACACTAAAGTACAGATGAGTAAGAATGACTGAAAAACGTCAACTGCTGATATTCGAATACATAAAATTGATTAGTAAATGAGGTCTTCTAATATTTATGCACAATAATAAAAGCCTATGAACTACAGGAAATTACCCCTCCCATATTAAGGCTAGGAAATGCACTCTCTGCATTTGTTTGTGCTGTATGAACAAGCACTCAACTAACGCACAAGATAAGAGTGCACATAATGAAAAAAAATTAGTTTCAACAGCCCTCTACAGAGTGCTTTTAAATTCCAGGCACATAGTTTTTTTGTTTGTTGCAGTGAAAATATATATAGTTCAACTGGGTTTAGTTAGTATTTTGTGCCAGTTTGGCCACAAAGGTTGACTTAGGTAGAATCGACTTAAACAGTTTTTCCTTTGATTTGGCCATTAATGAGCTTTTTAAAATTATGGATATCACTTTCCAGTGCTGTAATACATACTGTAAATTATTTCTAGGTGTCTCAGATATTGTTCAAGATTGTTGATGTGAAGTATATTGTCAACCATTTTTAGTGCAAATTGCATCTAGAAAGCTTGACTGGTTAGTTCCGGTTAATGAAGATTTGTGTGGCAGAAAAACAATTCCTGTTGTGGAAAAGAACACATTACCTTTTCCGGAGACTGAATGCATCCAATAACTGATGTATTAAGATTATTCAAACAAAAACGTAGAAATTAAAAACTCATAATGAAAATGATCACAGATCTTTCTCCTTAAAAAAAAACAAAACAAACAAACCCCAAAAACCCCACAGGGACTAGAGGACAGTGTTCATATGTAATATTTCAGTTCCATGGATTTACAGACAGGATCTTCCTAAAGGTGTCTGAAGCAAAGTTGGGCCTCTTCTATTCCAGCAGCATGAAAGACAAAGACTATATTACATCATACTTAGCAAATAAAGCAAACAGGTTTTACAGGATCACGCAGCAATTGCTCTCTCCAGTTTTTTCACGGTTCCTCTGACCTGTGGAACAATGAAAAGATTTACTTGAAGGTCATTTTCCAGATTTTCTGTGTGCACAAATTTTTACTCATTTTGTTTATGAATGAGACAAGAATTATTTATCACAATAGCAAACTGAAAGTACTGCTGGAATCTGTACATTTTAAGCTCTGGAGAAAAACAAAAATTGTATTCATAAAGAGTTTGGAAACAAGCCTTTGATCTTAGCTTGTTCAAAAACATCTGGTTTCTTTCTTGACAAGGACTATTAATAAATAATGAAGATATTTCTTCCTTCAAGCTATCCAAGAACAAAACATGACATATTTAACAGGCTCACATGTAGCTGAAAGTGTCACACACACATGCTGTATAGCCTACCTTGAGAGTTTGGCTCTGGCAACGTCTCTCTAGCCACCAAATGCATCACTGTTGTCTTGCCAAAAGGAAGTTTTAATGCTACGTAAACGGAAGATAACGGTGTTAATAAATTAACTCTTTTAGCCAGTCCAACAAACACACACATGAAAATGCAACTTTAACTGGATTAGGACTTTTTTCAGAGATTCATGTGTTAAAATCCAAATTGCTCATCTGTCACACCTATAATCGAGGTTAGATGCAACAGTTACACCAAGAATAAACACCACTGTTGTTTACATGTAATGAAGATAAAAGATAATATAGGGGCCTAATTCAGCTGTTTTTAAAAGTAAATGAAAAACAATGGGAATAGGTATGGTCAATTGGGACCTGGTTCAGCAAGGTGTGTGTAAGCACATGCCAGTATTAAAGGAAGAAAAGAGCAGCAGTGCACCAAGAGACCTGCTTGGCTAAATCATGGACTCAACAGTGAGTTGAAGCTTTAAAAAAAAGTATCATCTCACAAAAAGAAGAAACAAGGCTGCATTATTAAGAATGGATGTTTGAGTGCAGAATGAGCACACAGGGACAAAACCAGACAGGCAAGGGACATACAAATATTTTAGAAATACCTTAGATACAAAAGGAAGAGCAGGGAGAAATGAACCAACTAATTATTATGTACAACAATTCATCCCGTTGGGCATTTTTCCTTTTTTTTGTGTGGCCAAAAACATTGAAAGTAGAACCTCATCTTATCACAATTATTTACACAATCCATTTTATTTATGGTCTGTCTTTACATTTAGAATCAATTCATCGAACACTAACATCAGGAGAAGGGAATGGGGGTACCTGAACAGTATGTATCTTTTCATCAATTAGTCCATTACAGATTCAAGAATCTGAAATTAAACTAAATCTAGTTGCTACTGGCCAGAAGCTTCAGGTCACCAGTTTAGCCAGATGAATGCAATTAAGATGATTTAAGACAATGAAAACACTTTCTTGAGATAAGCCTTTATATTTTCATCCTAGCAACAGTGCTGGGTTTTTTTGAGAATGCTATATGTTACCATTATAACACAGGTAGTTATTGTTATTGGCAGAAAAATTAGATACATTAAACCTATTTTGAAATGCTTCATAAAACTTGCAGGGGTTTAGGTTGTAGCCGTGTTGGTCTAAGGACATAGGCAGACAAGGTTCCTTGGGTGAATTTGATATCTTTTATTAGACCAACCCAAATAGTTGGAGAAAAGTTATTAAGCAAGCTTTTGGGTTCAAAAACCCTTCGTCAGGCTAAGGAAGTTTCAGCAGTTGGTGTGTGCTCTTCCTGGATGGAATGAAAAGTAAACAAGCCAGGGGCTGGGCTGGGGAGTCAGTTGCCAGGCAGATTATAATGTATCAAAAATCCTTGCACTTTCCTGACAATAAGCTCTGTGATAAAGTAAAACTGATAACGGTTCTTACTTTATGGCAGGGGTGTCAAACATGACTACAGAACAGTTCTTTCTACTCCAGGATACCAGAGGGCTACAGGAATTTGGGAGGCAGGATTAGGAGCAGGGCATTCCACAGAATTTGGGGTTCCTGGGCCTGGATGGCCCAGGAGAAGTCCCTGAAGTCTCAATCCAGCCCAGAGTGAGTTGGAAACTCTTGTTCTAGGGGAAACTGCCTGTGCTGGCAAACTAGAGCCTCTCAATAGCTTTAAGTCTAAAAAGGAAAAGTATTTCACATATTGATTCTTTGATACAATTAATAACTGTGCAAAGATCATGTTAACAAGTCCGTAAATCCAGATGTAAAAGGGATTTTCTTCTTTGGGTGAATTAAGAGTTATTACAGAAAGACCAAAATGTTATACGCTAATCACATTAGGGAATTCTTACATAACATAAAAAAGACACTCGAGAAGACTATCCTCCAATAAGTGAGCAAAGGAGATTAATTATTTACAGTAATCAAGAAAAAGTATGCTAATATCTCAATTAATAGCTTGCATCTTTTTTGTACACATCCTTGTTAGTGATTTCTACCATTTCCTGGGTTTAAGGGTGTGGGTGAGAGATGCAAAAAACAGAAAAACAGGGCACGTTCACAAAATGCTTTCTCCGAGCATCTGAGTGGAGGAAGAGGAGAGCTTTCAAAACTGGATGTTCCTTAGCTGATTGTAACATTAGTTTCAGTTAATCCTGAATTTGTTGTTGGAAGCTAAGTAACACTTTCCTCCCTCTCAACTTCCCATCTTTTCACGTACACAGTGGAAGCAACAGAAGATGATGGCCCTGGCACTGCTTGTGACAATGACACTGCAGACTTTGGAGACAAGTGTGTTTTTTATTATCCTCCCTTCCAGGTGCTACTTTTGCTATTACCTCTCTTATTCTTGCATGAAGCTTCAGAAGGCATGGTATGCTGGCAAAAAGGCTCAAGGCTAATTTTTAAATACATAACGATATAGAATTTTTCCTGTTCAAATGTTTATCTTAAAAAACCCTTTCCTCCTATTAAAGAATTGTTTCAACTTTGGAAGCTGTCATCTTAAGTCCTGACTTCAGCCAGCATTCACACTAATCAAACTGAGTTCGGAAATAGACAACTATCACATAGTTTATCAAGAGGGACCAAAAATGATTTGATACCCAAACAAGAACAGCTTAGGGCAGCAGTCTGTAAACTTTTAAGGTTGCAGGTTGGAATGACCAGCTCAGGTTAGAGGCAGGCAGGCAGGCAGGCTTGATCAAATAGCTCTGTGGGTCGAATCCAACCTGCTGCTGTAGGTTACCAACCCCTAGCCTAGGCTACTACTCCCTCTCTCCAAGTGACAGGGAAGAAGGGGAAAATAAGCCTCAGAACTCCAGCCAAAAAAAAAAAAAAAAAAAAAAAATCACTAACCACTTGACACAAATGAAACTCTTCATAGGTGCTTTAATTAAAAGTCCCTAAGATCCCTGGATGAAAGACATAACAGAACTGCGAAGTACTGGGTAACAAGAAACTGCATACTGTACTTGGCATTAAAATACTGTTTTTTTTTTCAGTTATGAAATGTTTCCATGCTGCTTCTGGTAAGGTTGCATTAACCTTTCCTTTTAGGAACTTAGAATTTAACTCCATAATCTTACCCCATGAAGAAATTTATTAGAGTAATTCATCTGCATTGATGTAAATCCTGTTTTAAAAACAAATCTCTAAAACAATAAAGAAACGAACAAAAAAAAAAAAATCAGAAAAATGCTAACAAAAACATTCGATGTCCATGGGGTATAAGGTTGTGATTATTGCAAGTCATGAATGACAAGCAACATGACCCAAAATCCCCTGTTCCCTGGTGTGTATATAAAAATCCATGAAGCTGTCTTAATGTAGCAGTTAAAAGGAAGCAGGCTGTTCTTTTTCAGTGAACTGTTTTGTCCTGCTCTTGAATGCTATTCAGAGTATTGTGAAGTTATATTAACTCCCTTCACAGAGATCAGGATAAGTGGTCAAGAGCAACACCTATTGATGGCCGAACAAGGTTTTGGGTTTTTTTGTTTTGTTTTTGCCAGCTGCACTTGGCTTGCATTATATGCCAAAGCAGGGGTGGCCAACCTGTGGCATAAGTGCCAAGAGTGGTACAAGCAGCCTGTGTGTGTGCCAACAGCATATCAGGGAAGAAGCAGGGAGCACAATGACAGATAAGGCAGGGAGCACTGAGCTAGCAACAGAAAGAAGACCAGCAGATCAGACAGGGAACAGAAAGAGCAGCAGATAGGGCAAGGGACAGGGATCAGAGGGGTACTTGGGGGAAGAGTGCGAGGCTTATTTGTGGCAAGCCTGCAAAAAGGTTGGCTTCCACTATTCTAAAGCAAGACATTCAGAGGAACAATTTCACTGGGAGAGATGATCCAAAATTGAGGCTAGAAGCAGCAATGAACACAAACAGTATTTTCACTAACTTTAAGAATACACCAGTATCTGACAAAAAATAGGCTGCAGCCTACAGAAGCTTACACTCTCTCTTAACAAGTCAGTCTCTAATGTTCCACCCTGCCTGCCTACCACACTGCTTCTTACTGTGTTCAAGAACAGGACATGAAACTGTTCAGTTAGGCTAGGAACAGACATTACACATAAACCAGTTTAAGTGATCAGAAACTGGTTTAAACCTGTAACAGAACACAAATTCAGTGCACATAAACCAGTTTTAAAATGGCTGAAACTGGCTTAAGATAAATCTGGTTGAATGTAGTATTAGGCTTAACTGATTTGGGTCAAACTGGTTTATGGAACTTGTCCCAGACCCTGGTTTAAGTTAAATCAGAGTCCTCCATCATCACAGCATGCTCTGCAGCCCTGGGCTGGGCTGTCTGCTCCAGGGAGCAGGGATGGCCCCACCCCTCTCTTCCCTAGCTGGAGCACTATCACTGCTCCAGCTGGCTGAGGAGTTAGAGGCTGCAGGCACAGCAACATTTCCCTGACTTTCCCCAGCCCCCCCGACGCTCAAGCAGGGATCCTTCCCTTCCACAGCATGGACCCCAGAGGCACGAACCCTAGCCTGCATCTGGTCACAGTCACGCCACCACATGCTAGCTAATGCTGAGAGGGTGTGTGCGTGTGTATAGCCATCTCCAATGTCACTGAGGCAAAGGCAGACAGAACCGTCTGCTTAGGGCTTTTTGGAGCTAATCAACAGGCTAGCTGATAACATCCCTCCATTCCCTTCCTTAAGAGGAACTTGAACTAATGAGAGGCTTTTGTTTTCTTGATGGGCTGTGATAAGCTTTGTTATCAGCACCCTGCTGGCTCCCTTGCCTGTCAGGTTTGCTGCAGACAGTATGAAGAAGCAGTGAGAAGAAGATTGAAAAACTCAGTATCATCAACAGATGCATGCAGTGCACGCAAGCAGTCATCCCTCCCCCATCTCCCTCTTGCCTCAAAGTGCTAGCCGGAGGCCAGGGTCTGGCAAAACTCCCTACCCTTTGACCAGCAAGCTGGGAAAAGCCTAGGACTGTACAGGCAGGGGGAGAGTGTAAACCCTCCCCGAAGCAGAGCTTCCTGCTGGGGCCTGCCCTGAGAGTGTAAACCCCTCCCGAAGCAGAGCTTCCTGCTGGGGCCTGCCCACACCCCCCACCTCACCTCAGCACTGTGGGAGGGAAGGGAGGGCTGCTCTAGTGCCCCCCAGCTTCTAGCCTGAGTCACTGAAGGCATGTGCCTGCATTTCCTGATGTAAAAGTGAATGTCTACCCACTTGCAAATCTGTTCAAGCTCTGCCAGTTAGACTAACCTGCAAAGATTGAATCAATTCAGGCTCAGGCTTTTGGAATGTCTGTCCCTAGCCTTAGTGCTAAGTAAGGCAGACAAACTGGAGGTGAAAATTCCATAGTTAAATGACAGTATTAAGTAGCATGCATTCAAGTTCTCCATGTCTACCCAGAATATAAAGCAGTACTAGAAAACGGAACCATATGGCAGATAAATGCATCCTAAAGGGGATCAGCAGCCCATGCAGATATGGTTGAAAGCTGTTATCTAATGGTTGTATAGTACCTATTTGAATTAAATCAATAACTCCAGTTCAGTTCTTAATGGAGAGGTATCCATATTAGAATGGGCACACAAGAATAGCTGATTAACATCAGCAGCACAGAGAGCATTGATTCGTTTTTCCAAAGCCTTTACGTTGTGATCATCCTTGGTGCTAGAGGATGCTAGCTTAAGGGTGCTAAAGACTAAGTTTTAACCAACATTACAGAGAGAAAGTGAAATTAAAAAAAAGAAAAAAAGAGAAGGATAAAGGAATTAAGTAATTCCAGGTTTACCTTCACTAGAAAATGGTTGCACTAAGGATGGTTTTCATTATAGTTCTCCCTTCTGTGTACACTCTTAATTGCACACAACATTAAGAGAAGCAACCTATACACACATGCACAATATATTTCAATTAAATATTTCCCTTAAATTAACCTATCAAACTGAAAATAAATTGTATTTGAAATTTATATAGCAGCCATGATGTATAAAAGTATTTTTAATTATAATACATTTGTACATTACCTCAAACAATGGGTCTGTAAAAATATAACTGCAAAAAGCCACATGCCACAAGGGGGCACGGTTGAACTGCATTTCCTTACCATGCAAAGAGAAGCCATTAACTTTTGTTCTCACATAACTATGCAATTATATTTTTGGGACGAAGCCATATGGCAAGAATGCTGCTTCTTATTCTAATTCATAGGGTGCATTTTTTCATTACATTACAATCCAGACTGCTGTTTAATCAATTATCAATCTTCAGCCAATACAGAGATTTCTGAAATAGTTTTACAACATAAATATGAAGTATGAAAATGGAATAAAATCCTCTCTCCCTAATTAAAAATAATAATAAATAAAGATGACATTACTATTTTTTATTAGTACATAAAAGATTAATTCACAAGGTGATACTTTCCAAAGTCTGAACACTGGAGAAGGGACAGTAACACATGGCATGCTATGTTATAACAAAATTATTCAGAAAACCATACTGTGACCTTGAATTCTAATTCTAGATTGGGTTTTACTAACATGGAACTTACTGCATTTCAAATGTATATTTGCTTTGCCTAAGAAAGGTCCATTAATTAAGTTATTTTATTACCTCCTAGTGTCACGTTGCCATGAAGAAACCGTCCTTGATAAATAAGCCGCAGAATATTTGGACTGCTGACCTGTTCTTCTTCCCAATCTGAAAGAGAAACAAGGGAACTCTGAAGGATACATTTCATTACATACATCTTTCGTTTATTTTCCTATAACCCAGGATAGAGAGGAAAAAACTCGATTCTTCCACTCTGGGCTAAAGATACAAGCTTGAGAAGGAGACTTGAAGCTACAACACTCGAATGTTTTTCTGTATTTACCATGTGACCCTAGACAGTCTACTACTATTAAAAGCATAAATACTAGTATATTTCACAGATTGTTTATGAATTTTGATTAATACTTAAAGGTCCTCCACAAAAAAATAAGTGACAAAGAAAATGCTTCTGTTTTCTTTCAGACTTGGAATCCATTTGACTTCCTTTAATTTCTTCCTCTTTAAGAAGATTCTCCAGCTACTCTACCTATCCCCTGCATTCAACCAGATGAATTCCGCCTTAGTCTAGTAATGAAAAGCAGCCATTTACACAATAGCAACACCGCTGCTTGCTGGTTTAGAACAGCATTAAGTCAGAAGTGTGCTCTTCTCATCCAACACTACCAAGCATCCCACAAAACTAGATTTAGCTAGCTAAATGTCCAGAGGATTAAACAAACTAAGAACCCTGAAATTCATAGTAAAACTGAATGGTTAGGAACTGACCTCATACAAGGTCACAGAATGTACCTATTGATACAGTTTAAGAAATTTCTGACACCACAGTATCAGCACATGGTTGATGGATAGCAAATAATTTTCTGCAATAAAAATGCATCTTTTCATAAAATATTTATGCTTCACTAGGTTTACATTGACAAACACATAATTTATCATTGCCTTTTGAAA